TAAATGAGGGAGGGGCTAATAATCGGCTCAGTCATTTTTAATGATCGTTGAAAGCCCAGATCGTAATCGTGATTAAAATTCGATTAATTGAGCAGCCCTAAGCTGAATGTGCTCCCAGAAAATCAGTTTTGTAAACATGCTGCATAGTCGTTTATTTTATTTTAATGAAAGTACTAGTTAGCTCACCCTAGTTGGTAAAAGCTGATTTTAAAAGTTCTTTTGCAATGCAATCAGCAGGGATGGTGATTTGGAAAGCGATGTGACACTTTTGTGCTGTGGGTACAAATCCCACACACTAAGTACACACATCGAAGAAATGGAGATTGGATTTATATGTGCAATTTGCTGCATGATAGTCTTAGGGCTCATTACTGACTCAGTTCTCCTTCATCAGGAGTGGTGAGATGGGGAGCTATGTGGAGCAGTTTGAGGCCACGGAGGAAGTGAATCGTCCCCGGCTGAGGTGTCTGCAGCAGTGGACAGAGAAGCGACTGGACACAGTTGTCATCAATACACAAAGCAAAGATAGAGATCTTAACAGGCTCCTCTGTAAGTCATGTCTTGTTTATACTACTGTTTATACAGCTCACACAGCTAATTACGCCACAGCACTAAATACATGTGTTAGGATATTCAGTTAGTCTTAATTTTCTCATCTAAATTCTTCCTCTTTAATCGTGTACACAGATGGCACCATACCCCTCTTGGATTCAGATACGGCCCATCCTAAGCTGCAGCTGTCTGATAACAGCAGAACGGTGACCTACAGCGATGCTCAGCAGGCTTACATGGAGCACGAGGCTCGCTTCAGTTCCTTCCCACAGGTCCTTTCCTCATTAGCACTGGAGGGGGGGCGTTGGTACTGGGAGGTGAGCGTGTCCGTGGATGATGGTCGATGGAAGGTGGGGCTGTGTGAGGCTCAGATGGAGAGGAAAGGCCAAAAGGACAACTCTCGTCTGGGGTTCAACAGTTACTCCTGGTGCCTGGCCTGTGACAAAAGGAAGGTAGAGGCCCTCCATAATAAAGTATCAGTTCCTGTGGATTCAGATGGACTGCAAAGGGTAGGAGTGTTCCTTGACTTTGAAGATGGTATTTTATCATTCTTTAATGTGACACCAGGGGGCAGTCTAGCTTTAATGCATTCCTACAAGCAGAGGTTTACTAATCCTCTTTACCCAGCCTTTTCTGTGTCTAAAACACACTTGTCTATCTGTGATTTGTTCGAGTCTTAAACTGCACAGAAGCACCATATCAGTTCTGCTGATTGATTTACAAACTTCATCAATCTGTGGTGCCTTTTTTAAGTGTTAATCTATTTTAGTAAAATGTGCTGTTGTGTAACTTTCTCATGGATGATAGATCTGTCCTACACTGCATACAATCCCTGACTTCTGCAAAGATCTGTAAATGTGATTTTTACATCATTTGAAAGAACTGGAATAAATAGAGATCCTATTCAATATACCTTACATGTAACAGTCAATCACTGGTAGTGTATATATATATATATATATATATA